ACCCATTACAGGAAACTGGTCCAATCAAATCGCACATATAAAAATCAGATCAGACAAACGTACCTCAAGTCACAGATGCTTTATAAATGCGGCAAAGATGCTAACTAATCTTTAAAAGTGTCCAAGAAGATGCAAAATCATTACAAGCAACAAGCGAGAGACTGATTAGATGATAAGGAAAATGTTTCATTATTGGGTGAATTATGATGATTGGAAACAAATCTAATTGTATGTTAAATGCGCATTTGAGATGTGTATATATATGTATATATGTATATATATATATATATATATATATATATATATACTGTAAATAATATTGTTAAACTCAAGAATATATTTAAATCTTCAATCTTGTGATTTAGCAAAAGATTTCTCATCCCTAAAAAAAGTAAAAACAGTTTTAAATATATTAGAACTCAAATATGAGTATTTTTTATTATAAGATATAAATTATCCAAATATCTCCATTGGAAGTTTCTCTCGGTAACCTTGCTTTGTTTTATTTAAAGAATTTTGAATTTATTTTTAAACAAGATGATCAACATTGTGTCAAAGATGCTGTCAATAATAATGGAAGGCTTGAAGATCTCTACTCACCATAGACAGAAACATTGAATGTTTTAGACACCCATTTTGCTGCAGTTATCTTCACTTCATATTCTCCAGCATGTTCAGATGTGATGTTCATGATGGTCAAAGATCCAGTCTTTCTGTCCAGCTTCAGTCTGTCTCTGAATCTCACATCAGGGATGATTTGTTCCTCTCTAATGATTTTAGCTATGAGAGATTTCTCAGGTCCAAATTTCCACAGTATGTCGTTGTCTTCATGTATTTGAGTATCAGTGTGTAGAGTAACAGAATCTCCCTCTGTCACCGACACTGACTCTCCAAACACACCTGGAAAACAGGCATTTAACACAGATTAGGACTCAGATGGTTTTATAATAAGATGTAGTCAATGGCTGTTGTAACTTGTAAATATGAACTGAAACTGTGATTAATTATTGACTGCTATTTAAAATATATAACTGATATTGTGATAAAATATTGTGATATGAATACAGTTTTACAAGTTTGAATGGATCTACTTGATAACTCTCTGGGCAGTCTAACAGTTTTCAGATGCAGAAATTTCATAATCACAATGCAAAAAAGAAGTTTAAATTTCTAGTGCAAATATCTAAAAGTTCTTGGATCAAGTTTAATATATTGTTCTGTTTTTAACTTTAGAAGAATTAAGACAAAATCAAGAGATTTTCTTTAAAACAAGTAAAATAATCTTGCTTTGAAATGTAGATAGAAACTAGAAACAAGAGCATTAAAACAAAACACTTTTTTAAAAATAAATCTTATTAATTTAAATTAATAAAAATTTTTATCAATTATTTAAATAAATTTTATTAATTATTTATCTATAAATGCTGTAATTAAATACAAATCTGTAGCTCCTGGTCAACTATAATCCAGACTTTGCACATTGCATATCTTGTGATGTGAATATTGTGATATTGCATATTTTGTGATGTGTACACAATGCGATATCGATGCTGAAACAATATATTGTGCAGCCCTACTATAGATTATTGTGTGTGTGCGTGTGTGTGCGTGTGTGTGCGTGCGTGCGTGTGTGTGTGTGTGTGTGTGTGTGTGTGTGTGTGTGTGTGTGTGTGTGAGCATGTGCATGTGCATGTGTATGACTTGCTGTAATCATTTCCACTACTTTTGATGATCTTTTTAAATCGTTCATTGTTATTCGAGGTTTACCAATTTACATTTGTACTCAGAACGGAGGCCTGTATCAAAAGTAAGCTGACCTTGTGGTTTTATAATTGATCTAGAAAATGAGCAAAGCAATAGAAATGCTTTTGTAACTCACCATTCAGTCGGCTCCAGCACAAAAAGATTAAAACAAGTGTATGAAGCATTTCTTCAGTAGCTCTGTGTCTGATTCATTAATACAAACCCCTAAAATACTGACGCTGTGTGAAACCTCCCCTGACAGAGTTTGACCCTCCTAGTTCAACAGTAGCATTATGGTAATGTAATAGTTCTTATTAACCTTAATAAGGCTTTAATCTGTACTTAATTGGCGCACAAATAATTTTATTATTATTATTATTATTATTATTATTATTAAGTATGCTTTTGAATAGAAGTTGTATGTTTGGTTAAATGTGTAAGATTACTTCGAATTGTGAAAATTACCTGTAATGGTAAAATATTGCCTAAATATACTGTTGTTTAAAATGTTGTGTAGATTTATTCTGTTCTTAATTTTAGTGTAAAAAAAAAAATGATATGCAAGTTAAAGTTAATACTGTCTGCCATCTTGCAGTGCAGGTTCAGCTTCTGAGTCAAACTGAAACCTGCTGTGGTTGGTTTTTCTGTGTTTATTTCCGTAGGTGAGAGTGGACATTCACTGCATGTGTGTTCAGTTTGTAGGTGAGAGGGCTTCTTCTTTCCCCATTACTATGAGCATCCCAAGCATACCAAGGCCAGACAGAATCTGCAGATATTTTTAACATTTTTTTGTGCAGATTTTTGTAAAAAAAAAATATATTTAATTAAATAAATAAATAAATATATACATATTTACAGGTAAAAGACATCATTTCTAAATGGTAACTAAAAATAACGCAAAATAAAAAAATAGTAATGTTTAATAAAGTTTAATTATTTTGTATTATAATTCATTCATTTTCTTATTGGATAGTCCCTTTATTCGCCACAGCAGCCCCCCAATCATCCCCATCCACTGAATTGGCTCTATCTCTGTCTCTCCACTCCCCCTATAGCTGGTGTGTGGTGAGGGCACTGGCGCTGTTGTTCTGTGGCTCCTGTCGCATCATCCAAGTGGATGCTGCACACTGGTGGGGATGAGAGACCCCTTTCTCATGATTGTGAAGTGCTTTGGGTGTATGGCCATACTAGATTAATGCGCTATACACATATTACATTATATCTATGTGGTCCAATAGAGAACAGTATATGAAATGGCTTTAGACATCATTGTTTCCTCATTCTAAATAGATGTACGTTTTTGACTCCTCCAAAGTATTAAAATACCATAATGTGTTTGCAAATATTAAATTTCATTTCAGTCTTGAAGGCTGTCTCGATGTATACAAACGTGTCATGTGTAAGACAGCAGCAGTCACTTCTGAAATGAGACTCAGATTCAGTTATTGAAATCCACATTAGGTGTTTTTTAATTACCAGATACTATAAATATGAAAAATTAAACATTAGCTGAGCAGCATACAATGTAACACTTTATATAAACAACATATAATGTGACAAGATTCCAGCGACAAGCAATTGACTGCATCAGACGTAATTATTATTATTTTTTTTCAAGATCTCAAGAAAACGATTTGCTTCTGCTTTCAGCATGGCAATAAATACCACGTAAAAGGATATCTAAACTATTAAATGAGCATTTTTATCAGACTCCTCTGTGTATGTTCAGTAATATCACTTTTATTGTAAATAATAAGTCCTTTTTCTGGTCTTTAAAGAGAAATGTCTCAAGATAAACAAAGGAGGCTGAGAAAAATGTTCATTTTTATAATGGAAATTTCAGACGGAACAAAGTAAAACAGCTGTGGAAATGTGGTTTTCAGAAATGTGGTTTGATCTGTTTGGTGGACAAACAGCATGTGTGTGTTTGTGGGGGGACGTAGGAATGAAATGAGTGTGAAACATTTGTAGGTGAAAAGTGTCTTCCTGTAACGGCTTTTAAAAACTCTTTAAAGGAGAAAAACACAACTATCACAAATTTATCATTTTCATTTAGTATAAGTAGGAATTAAATAATTTGTTTTGACTTACTGCACATACAGTTCACTCTTTTTTATGCTTATTATGGTTGTTTAATAAAAGAAATTGTAAGTTAACTGCACTGGTATGGAATATCCACCCAGTGCTAAAATACATCATTACGACAGCAAAAAGACTTGGTTTAGCTTTGTCTGTCATTCTTTTGAATTTGTAATCTTTATAGATTGTTTTTCTTTCTAAAAAAAAAAAAAAAAAAGTTTTTAAAGATTTAAAATAACTCAATATTAACATTATTAACTATCTGAATATTCTGTTTTGAGTGAACTGTTCCTTTAAGAAGCTGTCTTGTGCTTAAACACTAGATGCCGCCATTTAACAGTTAAATCATGTTACATCGTCCATGTCCAAAGTGTAATTCTGTAAATGAATATATAATGACTATTTTTAGCAGATCACTAGTAAATAATAATAAAAATAAATGTTTTTTGTTTGTTTTTGGCATTATCAATTAATCAACATTTTCTACTTTGTTGTGAGAATGTCTGAAGAAGGTTCTCCTAGTTTTTAGTAGAAGGTACATCCTTTATTCACGTAATGAACACATACCTGGCTAACCAAAAGTGAACATTCTGAGAATCAAAATGTTTTTTTTTTCTTTTTCTTTTTTTACTGGACTGTACAGTGGCTCGGTATATTTTTAGCGCACCTTATTGGTTAAAAGTTCCAGTTATTCAAAGAAGTTGTTTTCAGCTTGGGACACTAGAGGGCGATAATGTGCTTGTCATATTTGTCAAAAAAGAAATCATTTCATATTTTGTTACAGATCAAATGTAGTAAAGGACAGACCCGTTATCACACTAAGTGGTGAGATTGTGATGAATTTTGGACACTTTAATAAGCTTCTGAATGCTATCGGTGAACAAAATGGCAGGCAACACCAAAAGATACAAAAAAAAAATGACTGAAGAAAAACAATGTCTTAATTTATGTCTTTTTATCTCAACTGATAGCCTTTTATTAAAATAAGATGCAATTATAAAGTTTTACTTCATTCTTGATCCTTTAATCACCTGCTATTCACATTTCAGACACTCAAAAGCTGACATCAGTCACACATTTTAATTTGCAGTGGACACATCAAGATGTTTGACAACCCAACTGATCAAACCACATCTGTGTACAGTAGACGTACTAATAAACACACAAAATCTGAATTATTCACAGTCGCGGCTTTATTGGTTAAACGAGAATGCTGTAAAATATAGTTAATTAGTATTTTCACAATTTAAATCTTGCATAATGATCCTGAATGGCCATTTTAATCAATAAAAACTAGAAGAAAAATAAATCTCATATCATCTGTGTAATTTGTTGCCAGTATGTGCTGATTGTCGTTGATGAAGATGATCTGGATCTGGATAATAGAAAAGTTGATCATTTTCTCATGGCAGCAAATGTGTACACCACATGAACTTCCTCTACATGTTTCTGTTAAAATATAATAAATAAGTAAATACATTATAAAAGATAAACTGGCATTAAGCAGAATACAAGTTATAGTTTAGAAATGTCACATTTGGCAACAGAGATCAATTTCAAAGTTGTTTTCAGGGGTGGATCTGTCCAATAAGCGAGGTAAGCAGCCGCTTAGGGCCCCGCGGTAGTAGGGGGCCGCAAACAATGCCATGAAGCCTATATTAATCATACTGCATAGCGCTTTTATTAATTTTCTAGCATATGTTGAAAAATCTGTCTATAACTGTTATTAGTTTAAAGCCATTACTTCTAAAACCGGTGGCCCCCAATAAATAGTGGAACATTCCTTCTATACTTCAAATGCAAATATTAAAATCCTTTAAATTAAATTACCTAAAAAATGTGAATAAAATGTAATAATATAAATGTGTATATATATATATATATATATATATATATATATATATATATATATATATATATATATATATATATATTTTTTTTTTTTTTTTTTTTTTTTTTTTTTATATATATATATATATATATATATAAAAAAAAAAGAATGTATATATATATATATAGAGCGCGGGGGTGTGTATTTTATTTATATAAAAAAAAAAGAGAGAGAGATATATATATATATATATATATAAAAAAAAAAA